ATTTGCAAGTCACTAAGCAGATTGAAAACGCAAATCTAGATGCTTTACAGAGTAAGTGGATTGTGGATATGGTATAACAGATAAAAGGGTTCTTGTTCCAGTGTTGCCACTGATTTGTGATCTTGCATGAGTATCAGTTCTTCTAAGAGCATCAGTTTTACTAACTGTAAAGTGGCAGTAATACTGATACTGATATCTTATGTTAGACAAGGTAAGTAGTATGAAGGACACATGAAAAGTAGTACTTGATTACAGTATTGGCACTGCTCTGAGCTCACATCTGTGAGAGTCCAAACATGGGAAATGTATCATACATCATCACTGTTTTCAGGGAGCTCATGTATTGTTGAAAGGGACATACAGGTGAATGAGCAATTACAATTCGGTAGAATGAACAAAGCAATGAGATCATGTGTAAACTAAACAGGACACATCATAAGGAAGGATTCCCTTATCAGTGAAAGAGATGGTCATGGAATATTTTTCAGATGGAGGTAATGTTTGAATTGGGGGGATGTTTGTGGTCCCAGTAGGCAGGGAACTGAATGTTTTTGGTATCTGACTAGGAACAGAGACTGTTCACGTTACCACCCCTATGAGCAAAGACTTGCAGGGTCTTCTAGATGAAGGAAGAAGACAAGCAAGGACATTCCACAGAAAGGAATTTCACATTTCAGGGCCAATGGGCAAAATTGTGAAAGAAAGAGTATGTAATCTGGGAATACAGAACTACAAGTTTTGTGGGTCCCAAAGCTCTGGGAAGGGATGAGGCCTGGCAGGAGTGGTCATGTAGAGTAGTGTATACAAATAAAGGGACTCTGCTGACAGGAGACGGGGAGGTAGTGAAAGTATTTGGGTCAGAGATAACCAAAGTTGTATTTATGGAATTCCCTCTGTGGTAGTTGACTAAACAGATGGGACACAGCTAGGCTGGAGGCAGTGAGAGCTCTACAGTTGACCAGAGAAGAGATGAGGCACTGAATTAGGCAGAAACGATGGTGGCAAAGATCCTGAGAAACATTTAGGGAGAAATGAATGTTTTCAGTATCTGACTGGGTAGAGAGAATGCTCATGTTACCAACCCTATGAGAAAAGACTTGTGTGGTCTAATAGTGGAAGGAAAAGGACAAGCTGCCTTTTCATCTGGAAGTTCCAGGAAGAAGCAAGGGCTAGAGTTATAGTTTGGAAAACAAAAAATACATGGTAGTGGGACTTCCCTGCTGGTCCAGTGGTTAAGACCCCATGCCTCCAATGCTGGGAGTGTGGGTTCAATTCCTGACTGGTGACCTAAGATCCCACATGCTGCATGGCCAATTAATAAATAAATAGTCCCTACTTCTGGTTCTGAGGCTCTTAAAAAAAGTAGAAGGTAGTGAAAACCATGAGGTTGCACATAGAGAATTAGACTGAGAAAAGCGGTAGAGAAAAGACAGAAAGCTTCAGAATCTTTTGGAAGAGCAAAACTTAAAAATAGGCAGAAGGACGCAGAGAAAGACCCCTCAAGCAGGTAGCAGGAGATTCAGGAGAGTCTTATCATAGACAGTAAAAGAGTAGAGAATTTCAAGGAAGGAGTGTCAATACTGGCAGATACCTTACTTGAATGATCAATGAAGACAGGATTAAAGACCATCCATTGGATTTGATAATTCCAGAGGCCGTCAGGTTTTCTTTCTCATGCAGTCAGTTAAACAGAAGCAAGTCTACTGTCGGTTGGGCAGTAAATAGGAAATCAGAAGTTAAGACACTGAATGTAAACTTAACTGTCAGGAAGCTCAGATGTAAGGAGAAGGTATGAGAGGAAAGTAGACTGGGATGGAAAAAGAAGAGCTTTCTTTGTACACGAGTGGAAAGGGGTTGGATACATTTATTTCTTGAAGTGTAAGGACCATTATACAACAAAGTGGAGACAAGAGGGAGAAGATGTTTGATGTAGCTGGCTTCTTCATGAATGGTAATGTGAATTTGGACAGAGAGGATTTGACCTTGGACCAAAGGACTTTTTTCTGTGACTTTGGAAAGGCAGAGGAAAGGATGACTGTAGACTGGAGTGAATTCGTCCTTGGAGATACTAAGAGAGAGGAAGCCATGTCTGACAAAGATGGAGTCACGGTAGGCTAATGAGGATGAAATGTGTAGTGTGTTTGAGAATAATAGGAATAAAAAATGAAACTGACCAAAACAAAAAAAAAATCAATTAATTGTAATTGGTCTGATATCACTAATCTCTGAGGTGAAAAGAATTCTTCCAGCAGAGCTCAGCAGCTTAACCCTGATTTAGGAGGATTATACATTTAATCCAAGGTTGGAGTTTTATACAGTTTTATACTACAAGGAAAAGGAAGACTTGAGAGTAATTTGGTTTCTAGCAGGTTAATTTGTTTTTAGGTTAAACAATAATAAATTTGTTTCTGGACATCAGGTGGGCATTCATTTCTTTTTTTTTTTTTTTTTCCCCTTTTCTTGAGACTGACCATGTTCTAAGAAAAGGCATGGGATTCAAATCTCTATAATCAGGGTATAAACACCTGTAGCTCTGTTATCTTCATCCCATGATTAAAACTTGCCCAGTTTGACCACTGGCTTTCTTTAGCAAAATGTAGGTTTCTGATTAGCCATAGGAAGAGTATGGAAGACGAGGTGGGCAGAAATTTAATTCCTGTGTTATTCACATTCAGAATGACTCTGTCTCATGTTGGATCCACTTTCTATGGTCCTATGGCTTCATGAAAGAATTGGCAAGCAGTTTCTACCAAAGATCATATACTCCAGGCTGAAAAGCATTTATGTCACTATTTTCCAGAATTCACTGATAGTTTAAAACTTCTTCTGACTGGTTGTTTCTTTCTGGTGAAACAGACTGCTGAGAGTCAAGTGAACTTGGGCATTCTGCCAGGGGCACTCATGCCAATGATGTTTAGAGGTAATTTGCAAGGGTAGGAGGTGCCAGGACTTCAACAATAAGCAAAAGCAGCTCTGTTGGAGCATCTGGAGAAAGGGTCAAAGTGCTATTTTGAAACTGGCCTTTTCAGTTTTTCTCTCAGTAACTCCAAGTTTTAAAAACAGGAAGTAGAGACATACCCAGGAACTTGTGAAATGAAAATAGGCCAGTAAAATTACAAACGCCCTGATGGATTTTATAAGGAGGAACCCTTGTGGGAAGAGCACTAGACTAGGAGTCAGGAAATCATATTCAAAGATCTGGGTCTCACTGTCTTCATCCTACACAACAGGAACATGGTACCACTGGCGGGACCTGGGGAGGCACCATAAGTCAAGTGAAAGTCACTCAGACGTGTCCAACTCTTTGAGACCCCATGGACTATAGCCTGCCAGGCTCCTTTGTCCATGGAATTATCCAGACAAGAATACCGGAGTGGGTAGCCCTTCCCTTCTCCAGGGGATCTTCCCAACCCAGGATCAAACCCAGGTCTCCCGCACTGCAGCTGGATTCTTAACTGTCTGGGCCACCAGGGAAGCCTGACCTGGAAAACTGCTTCCCAAATCCCCTGCCAAACCCATATCCCCTTCCCAAGATTATATTGCCACTGTTGTTCGGAATATTTTGGGCAGGAGACAAGTCAGTAGAGTCTTTGGTGAACATGTGGTACTTCCCCTTATTCTTAGCAAGAACAAACCTTTGGCTCATTGTGCCAAACCTCCGTAACTCAGACATGTTTTTACTAGACAGAAATAACCACATGTTTCACCTTTTCAATCTGTAGTCTTGTTAACCTGTAGCTCTAAATGGTTCGTGCACCTGAAAGTAAGGTTTTTGTTTTGTTTTGAAGAGGAATTCTATGGTAATTAGGAAGAATAAGAAAAAGACAAACATAACTATTTGGCCACTCCCTATCTTTCCTCAAAAGCCTCAGACAGTAGGTGACTAGGGAAGATTTCAGTTTTTCTGAGTGCATCTTCAATTCCATTTTCCATTGAGTATTTGTGGGATCATTAACATTATATTCCAAAAACACATAACAAGGATTGACTATACAGCATAGAGAACTATGTTCAATATATTAAAATAAACTCTAATGGAATAGAATTGGAAAAATATATATGTATAATCAAATAACTATGAAATATATGCATATATATTTATGTGTGTATATATATGTGTGTATACGTGTGTGTGCTCAGTCACTCAGTTGTGAGATTCTTTGCGACCCTATGGACTGTAGCCCGCCAGGCTCCTCCATGGAATTTTCCAGGCAAGAATACTGGAGTGGGTAGCCATTTCCTCCTCCAGGGAATCTTCCTGACCCAGGGATCAGACCCATGTCTCCTACATCTCCTGCACTGGCAGATGAATTCTTTACCACTGAGCCACCCAGGAACCCATATATATCTGTAAATATACACACATACATTTACATATATAAATATATACATATATATATAGATCTTGGGGAAGGCAATGGCAACCCACTCCAGAATTCTTGCCTGGAGAATCCCATGGTCAGCACAGCCTGGCGAGCTACAGTCCATGAGATCGCAGAGTCAGACACGACTGAGCGACTCACACACACACATGTATATATCTGTATGCTTTATTCCAATTCTATATTCTATATATTTCACAGCAGGCATTTCCATGGTCTTTTAGGTCCTGGTTCAGAGGGGAAAACCAAGTGGGGGGAAAGGAGCTATCTGAGGCAGCAAGCTGAAAATGGGACAATGAGGAGGCTGTGAAGCAGCCTCAGGTGTCAGCGAGGAGCCTCTATAATCACAGAACCAACAGGGGATTGTACCTACTGATTCCCAGAGCAGGGCAAAGCTGCAACCCAGGGATGCGAACCGTGCATGATCCACTTGCATGGAAAAGACAAAGCTTCTCTCATAAACTCTATGCTGATTCAGACACGTCACAAGAAGTGGAAGAACAATGGGGGCTTGAAAAACAAAACAGAAAACAGTAACAACGCTAGGGCTGGAAGCTGATTTGAGATACTGCAGGAATTCTCAGAATTTCACTCATTCACTCTCTTTTCATTCCCCAGATGCTGCACAACAAGCATGTTATGGTCCGCGTGGGAGGAGGATGGGAAACTTTTGCAGGGTATTTGTTGAAACATGACCCCTGCCGGATGCTGCAGATATCCCGTGTGGATGGCAAGACATCCCCCGTCCAGAGCAAATCTCCAACCCTTAAGGACATGAATCCAGACAATTACCTGGTGGTCTCTGCCAACTATAAGGCGAAGAAGGAAATTAAGTGAAACTGGGTGGTCACTACGAGGGGACTCTCCCAATGGCCTGTATCTACATCTCCAGTAGTCAGTTTAGCTCACATGCTCTACAAATTACTTTGGAAAAAGACAGACAGAAAAATGTCATCATGCTGAAACACGCTCAAAGAGTAGCACTATTTATTTTGAATGCTTCTGTAGAAAATGACCTCTAAAAAGAAATTTTCAACTTAAATTAGACAAATTGTAGCAAATTATTTCTCAATATATGAACAGTATTTAGAACACAATCGTAGCAGTACAATTCTAGCTAAAGATAAAAATTATTAGAAGAAAATAGGATTTACAGTAAAATCAACAGAAAGTGCCTGCCCGAAGTCTACAGAATAAAAGCACTCCAGACATTTTTTTAAAATTTACAATTGCAGGATTTTAAAGCTGATTTTTTAAAAGTGACAATTAGTGTGATGACGTGCTACTAAAAATATCCAACAGCACTATAAAGTACAGAGTATTCACGACAGTAATCCTTTACTGGAAAGGCCACTTTAGAAAAGTTTTACATTCACTTGGAAGATTGCCTTAAAGTTTATCCCTTAGCTCTGACCAAATATCAGGGGTACTTTTGGAAGTTTTCACAACACCCCTTAAGAGAATGGCTTACGAGTTGTTTCACACAATCCTAGGCACGTGGCTGTGTTGAAACTGACTGTGTAATTCACACATGTAAGCTGACATACATTTATATTTTGACAGAATAAACTGTACAGTCAAATGTCGTTGACTTCATGTTATTTCAAAGCATTTTCTTATTAAAATGTATCTTTAGTTAACCCTACTTCGCTGTGCTGTCTAGTAATTTTACTGTAGCTAATGATGTTACAGACTTATGTATACCCTTGTATATCTAGGACAGGGCTGTTTTGTACCATAAACAGCAAGATATTGTCCTCACTGATTCAAGAATTAAAAAGATAAATGTTGAAAAATTTCCCGTCTCTATTATCAATGCTTCATTCTGAAATAAAGATCATCTGCAAATAGCAACTTCCCCTGGGAATTACAGGAAGCATTTAATTACGGTTACTTAGTACTTCTTCACTGTGGGCAGCTGAGTGGTGGTCGTTCTTTGTTCTCTTAGCAGAAAGTGTAGATTTTATAAACAGTCCTTTCAGTGCTGCCCTGAATAGGCAGAATTAATTTGTCATTTCTTCATTTTTCAAAAACAACAAAATCCACCTTTCTTGCTTCAGAAAGCCAGGGAAGAAGTAGCTCTGTTACATGAATGATTTAATCAAAGCAGACACAACCTTTTTAAAACAGACTGTAAAGAATATGCTTGCAATGCAGGAGACCTGGGTTTGATCCCTGGATTGGAAAGACCTCCTGGAGAAGGGAACAGCTACCCACCCCAGTACTCTTGCCTGAAGAATCCCATAGACAGGGAGCCTGGTGGGCTATAGTCCATGGGGTCGCAGAGAGTTGGACACAACTGAGCATACAGACATGGTTAGATTGGGTCCACCTGAATAATCCAATATAATCTCCCCATTTTAATGTCTTTAACTGAATCACATCTACAAAATACCTTTTGTTGTGTTATGTAACATAGTCCCAGATTCCAGGAATTAGGATAGGTCCCATCTTCTGGGGAAGGTGGATTCTTCTGTCTACACATCTACAATGGTCTTTTTAAGTGGAACTAAGAACATAGTCCCAACTGACTTTGTGGTCTAGTTGCTAGCTGAATGGCACTGAAAAAGAATCTGGAGAAATTAGACTGTATTCAGAAGGAAATGACTAAGTGTACATGGCTCTTACTCATTGACTTCTTAGTGAAAATCACTAGATCCTTTTATCAAAATTGTCTTGGCTATCATAAATCTTGCATTTTCGACATGAATTTTAGATCAATTCATTAATTTCTCTGAAAGAGCTTGCTGGGGTGTTTCATTTATTGATCAATTTGAGAACACCATCTTGACAGAACTCTCATTCAATCCTTGAACATGCAATGCTCTCACCATTCATATATTTAAAAAAAATTCTCAGCAGTGTTTGTAGTTTTCTAATTCAGATCTTTTCGTTTTCTTTTTCCTAAATATTTTTTCCTAAGTATTTTTATCCTATGTGATGATATTGTATGATTTACAATGTTTTAAGATTCAGATTGTTCATTGTTCTTGTATGCTAAGTTGCTTCAGTCATGTCTAACTCTTTATGACCCTACGGACTGTAGTCCGCCAGGCTCCTCTGTCCATGGGATTCTCTAGGCAAGAATACTGGAGTGGGTTGCCAGCCCCTCCTCCAGGGGAATCTTCCCTACCCAGGGATCAAACCTGGTCTCATTATGTTTCCTGTATTGCAGCAAGTTCTTTACCACTAGCGCCACCTGGAAAGCCTCAAGATTATTCATTACTTATATTATAAAGACAGAATTGACTTTTTCTATATAATGATTTTGACTTTCCTGGTAACTCAGCTGGTAAAGAATCCACCTGCAATGCAGGAGACCCTGGTTCGATTTCTGGGTCGGGAAGATCCCCTGGAGAAGGGATAGGCTACCCACTCCAGTATTCTTGGGCTTCCCTGGTAGCTCAGGCAGTCGAATCTGCCTGCAATGCTGGAGACCTGGGTTTGATCCCTGGGTTTGGAAGATCCTCTGAAGGAGGGCCTGGCAACCCACTCCAGTATTCCTGCTTGGAGAATCCCCATGGACAGAGGAGCCTGGCGGGTTACAGTCCATGGGGTTGCAAAGTAAAACACAACTGAAGCAACTTAGCACAGCACAGAATGACCTGCATTTTGCTACCCCACTAAACACATTAGTTTCAAAGTCTGCTATAAATGCAAATTGATTGTGTCAGTGGCTTTTGAGAAAATCAGAGAAAACTGTACCACAACTCAATCAACTTAAAGCAAATACACTTATCATGGGAATTTGAGATGCTTGCTTGGAGATGTCCAAGGAATCACCTTAAATATCAACTCAGATAGGCATGCATGTCTACCTACCTCTTACTGATCTGTTTATGCAGATATTATTTAAATCTAAAACCAACAAGAGTTACCTTTTCTTCTAAGGGCACAGCACAATTCTTATCAGTGAAAATAACTTGAATTGTTGGAGAAGAAAAGGAAAATTCATAGCTTATGGCCAATTCTTTTGAAGTACCAAAGATGATAGCTAGAACATTTACTTTTATAGGAAATACTATATTTTATTATTAAAAATGCTGCTGCTAAGTTTATACATATGTGTCCAGCCATATATATCTTCCATCTTTACTTAACACAAAATAAAAAACAAAATCACAAAATAATAATCCAAGAAACCATTAAACTCTGCATGCCAGAGTGAAGTTCAAGAATAAAAATCTAGAAAAGTTTTAAAAACTTTTTTTTCTCATTTTTCTCTTTTATAAATACTAAGTATATGTTATTCTCATAGAACTCTATGAAGATTCTATAACTACTTTCCATGTAGAAATAAGATATCATTTAAGGTGTATTAAATTGCTTTTGGTCATAATCCTCTATAAAAGCTAAAGTTATTTATATAACAGGAACTCTTTTCCCTCCTTATCCAAATGCCACAAGACTTTGCATATTGCTAGCAGAATACTATTGGAAATACTAAGCAAATATAGGAATTCACATTACAAACATACTGGGCCCATATTGTTGCCAAGCATCACTTTCTCTGTAATTTAAAGTCTGTTTGTCCTAGCTTAGGTGGGATAATAGATCCATAGCTTGCAGAGATGGCCTGACAGTAGCATTAAAAAATGATGAACAAAAATCTTACCCATGACACCTCTTAGCTGCAGGTGTGTGGCTTCACTCTGTACAGAGTCAAGATTATACTTCATATATGTATATACGCAGACTCACTATGAAGTTTATTATAGTATTTCTCTAAAAAACAGGAGACAAATAATAGCATTTCTTTTTTAGAGTATAGGAAAAGAAACATGCCAACCTATAAATGATTTAAGATATAGTAAAAATAAAAAAATTTGTTCAACAGAAACGGCCAAAGCCAGTTTTTTGTATAGGAAAATGTATATTTGTACCCTGTAAGCCAATATGGCATTCATAACAAAACCATCTGTGGGAAAAGTATTAATTACATTCCAAATACAATCAGTGAAACAAAAATATCACATACAGATGTTTTAAAAAAAAACATGCAGCATGTCAACACGGGGGCTGTGCTCTAATACACAACTTTTTGTCATCAGCCATAGTAATAGTTTGATGATTAGAATCAACAAGCAGTGGTTTAAGCACTTAGTATCTTAATGTGGTAGTTATCAATACATATAAGCATTTTACTGTTTAGTTTTCTTTATTTGGTTGGGGAGTTTGGGTGACATATTGAGCATTATAATGCTTTTCTATTTAAATTATCAATTATGGGAAATTGGCTCTGAGCTAAGGTTTCATTAGAAACCTTATAACTTTATAACTTTGAGAAAGATCCTTGAGAATGTGTGTGTGTGTACTTTTTTTTAAAGTAGTCACTTACTGATTTCCTATCAGGCATCCAGTCTCCCCTTTTGCCTTCCCCTTCCTAACGCTATTCCTAACATCTGAATATCACTCCTTAAGCCATGCAACCCATGTGGATTGGGGATAGTTGATTCAACCCAAGGAGGCAGGCCATGGTTGACTGGAAGGGCATATCCACTGTTACTAGAAGGCAGTTCACCAGCACAGCATTCTTGGTTCAAAGGTAAATAAGCATGGTATTTGGATATAAACTGCTATTAGAAATAGGGCATTATCCCCAAGATGTACACCTTTTGTCTACACTAACCCAAACTATAAGCTGTAACACTGATAAAGCTGTCTTTTCTATATTAAAACAGAAGGAAGGATGCACACATTCTAGGAATGGTATACTCTGGTTCCATACCCAATCATCTATTAATGTTCTTTTCTCCTTTCTGCCTTGAAAAAAATTAATCATGTTCATTAGTCAAGAATTTTATTTCTAAAATACAACCCAATGACTTCACTATCCTTTCTGGAAAAACGTACCACCAATTCTCTAAAGGATGAAGAAAATTGAACCTGTCTATAACTACATATCTTGCCTAGATAGTCACAGAATATTTCATTCCAGAACTGAAGAAAGTGATTCTTCCAATTGAGGAGTCAAGAGATCTATGTTATAGTTTGAAGTCTTTAAAATTAAAATACATCATATAATACAAGATTTGTGGGAGGGATAAGCGAGATAATAGTTCAGTTTCCTTTCTGTAGATTAGGTGAGTTGGTCTCTTTAATTTACAATCCTTATTTCATTTAATACCTGAAAATTCTAATTTAGGGCTCAGACTGTGGCCCTGTCATCCAAAAGAGCCACCAAATTAAAAGATACAGTAATTCTTCTGTTTTAGCTTATTATATATCAAGAAACTCAAAAGACCAAAATTGCTATAATAAATGTTACCAATGCACAAACATCTAAAAAGTTTATGGCAATGCATCACACAGAATTACCCTGCAATATTTTTATGGTTAAAGTAGACCTTTTTAAATACAATACTTACATACTTCTTTCATACATTCATACTGGCCTTGGCAATTTCACATCTGTAAAAATCTTATAAGCATTCTTTAATAAATAAAAAAGAATAAAAACACCTATAAAATTTGGACAAACACATTCGCGCTAAGTATAACCCACCCATTCTTAGTTTAACTCATTCAATTCCTACAAAGAGCTTTATAGAGTTGAATCCCATACTGTATATTGTACATCGCTGCCCTCTGATGGCATCACTAACATATAATTTTAAATTCAGCAAGCAAAAAAAAAAACTTTATTATAATGCAAAAGAGAGTATGTTAATTTTATAAACTACAGAAATAGAAATTAGGAGATATTTTATGTTCTCTAGAAATAAATATTAGTTTCTTAGTAAGTTAGAAAAATGTACAGTGTTCCTTCATATAAGCCCTTCAAATGATATTTCAAGATTTTCCCTGATGATCGGTTTAAAAGGCACTAAAGTCTACAAGTTTAAGCAAAAGTCTCCATATATAATGAAAAAATGAAATATAAGGTTAAGCGACAAATTATAAAGCGCTAGATCATTTCATAAAGGAGGGAAAATACAAGTGCAACTTTAAACATCTGAGACATATGCAGAATTTTTCCATGCAATATACAAATATATATTCACTATTTAGGCCCATGTTTTAACTACTAAAAAGTGGCAAATCACCCACCATCTGTAGAAGAGCAAAGGTAGGGGAAATAAGAATTTAATGAAAGGTCTGGCCATTTTCTAACTCTAACAATCAAAAGCATTTTCAATATTCAATTCTGAAAAAGCACTGCACTTGAGAGCACTAAAATTACAAATTCTGAATCTGCATTTATTCAAAGAGAAGAAATTAAATTGAGGATGTCCACTTGATTGCAGATATTAGTTACTGGCAGTAGACTCTTCCATTCATGCTATGCTTTATGAAACTGTCCACTAGAAAAGATAAAAATATAGAGGAAAGTAAATTTTGTTTTAAAAGTTATGTTACAATATTCTAGTGAACAAACAGGTAAAAGAGGAATCTGGGCTATACAAATGTATAGTGATCTTTGTGAGGACCAGTGACTAGTAAAATTTTACATTATAGTCAAAAGTCTGAAATAAAATACATGATGGTGTACACAGAGAAAGAAAGAAAATATCTGGACAGGTTAACGAGGGGTAGCTAGGTCCCAAATATCTGATAATCAGTAAAACAAAACATCACAAGACAAAATAAAAACAATGAAACTACAAAGTAAAATTATAGGAATTGGAATTCTTGTTTGAGGCAGGGGAGTGAAGAAGTGGTAGAAATGATTAAACAATGGTCTGGCAAAGTCTGCCTGGAGAAGAAGATGGCAACCTGTACTGCAGTATTCTTGCCTTGAGAATCCTATGGGCAGAGGAATCCGTGGAGTTGCAGAGTCGGACACAATGAGCGTCTCGCACACACACACAGTCTTTCACTGTCTGAACCTGAGAAACTATTCCACGTGGTATTCTGCTTAATCAAGTTTATTAAATTTTGCAACAGTAAGTTCTGAAAAAGCCATTGGGATAATAATATTTACCAGTCTCTAGAGTAGTGTTTTCCAAGTATATTAAGACATATTATTGAGTATAATATGCTTTTTAAAAATTTTTATTTAAAGTTTAAAAATTAAGGATGAATTCAAGTAAACTTACTTTCCTTTATTTTAGGACTTCTTACGGATTTAAATATTGTGCTTTTTTTAATCTCCAAGGAAGGTATTCAATATATAACATAGTATTCAGTGTTTTGGGGCTTCCCTTGTGGCTCAGTTGGTAAAGAATCTGCCTGTAATGCAGGAGACCTCGGTTCGATCCCTGGGTTGGGAAGATCCCCTGGAGAAGGAAATGCTGTAAAGTCCATGGACTATACAGTCCAAAGAGTCTGTGAAGAGTTGGACACGACTGAGCAACTTTCACTTCACTGAGTATTTTTAAACAATTTCTTACCATGGCACTCTATTTTCAACAAAATAGCCCTTAGGATTAGTATTACAAACACTAGAGCAGTGATCCTCAATCTGGTTTGACATCAGACTCCTTGGTGAGCTTAAAAGTCCTGACGGCCAGGCCCTACTCTCAGAGATCCTGACTGGTACAAGGTCCGATCCAAGGTCCAGCCTTTTGTGAAAGTTCCCCAAGAGCCAATGGCATCTGCCAGAACTCCTCTGCTGGTAAATCCTGACCTGATGCTAGTTCGTGTCCTGATGCCATCATCACACTGACTTCGTAAAATAAGGCTGCCTTTCCAGAATACAGTAAGCATTGCCAATGCCAACTGTCCTTGTAAGAGGCAGTTAGTCAGCAGGTGAATATGTGGAGCGTGTGAAGACAGAGAGGGTCCTGTTTTCCTCATACTATGGAGTCAGGTTAGGAAGAATCTAGCTATACCACAGGACACTTAAGGCCGGAGAGGGCCCTAAACAACCCCAGGCCAAAGGGTTTGAGGATTAAAGTTACTGTCTATCTTGTATTTCCTCTTCTGTTATCCCTGAAAGTCAAAGTTGCTCAGTGCTGTCCAACTCTTTGAGACCCTAGGGACTATACCATCCACGGAATTCTCCAGGCCAGAATAGAGGAGTGGGTAGCCTTTCCCTCCTCCAGGGGATCTTCCCAATCCAGGGTTCAAACCCAGGTCTCCCGCATTGCAGGCGGATTCTTTACCAGCTGAGCCACAAGGGAAGCCCCGAGCCACCCAAAATTTTGAACGTCACTGTATGCTCTCGACGAGCAATGCAGGTAGTCAAAGAAAAAAAGGTACTGAATTTAACACTGATAATGTCTCTCATTTCGCGCACTTCTGAATGGACCAGAAGAAATGTAAGACCTAACTTATTTTTAATCTATAGGCTTCATCGCATGGAAACTTCAGCTTTTATTACAGAAGCCCTTTTCTCTCTTAAGAGTTCAAAAGCTGATGTAAAATTTGTTAGGTTGAAAGTGAATGTCACTCCGTCGTGTCCGACTCTTTGCAACCCCAAGGACGATACAGTCCATGGAATTCTCCAGGCGAGAACACTGGAGTGGGTAGCCTTTCCCTTCTTCAGGGGATCTTCCCAACCTAGGGATTGAACCCAGGTCTCCCACATTGCAGGTGGCTTCTTAACCAGCTGAGCCACAGGGTAAGCCCAAGAATACAGGAGTGGGTATCCTATCCCTTCTGCTGGGGATCCTCCCGACCCAGGCATCGAATTGTCTCCTGCATCACAGGCAGATTCTTTACCAACCAAGCTATCAGGGAAGCCCTTTGTTAGGTTACAACGTGTAAAATAAGTACTTTCTGATTATACAAAAAATATCATGTTTTGTAATATTATATGTGACTTCAAGTCATTCAGAAACTTGCATTTCATTTAGTGAAGAAAACTAAGAGAGTTTGAAGCAGGTTATAGTACAATCCAATTTGATAAAATTGACATATAAAATGAGATTAGAAACGATGTCAAAATGATACTGAATTTGGGTGATTTTTACTTTCATCTTTGTACCCTTCCATTTTGCTTAAGTTTTCTACACAGTTAAGATTGTCATTAATTATGTAAGTATAGGGGGCTTTCCAGGTGGCACCAGTGGTAAAGAATCCACCCGCCAATGCAGGAGACGCAAGTTCAGTCCCTGGGTTGGGAAGATCCCCTGGAGGAGGAAATGGCAACCCACTCCAGTGTTCTTGCCTGGAATATTCCATTGACAGAGGAGCCTGGTGGGCTACAGTCTGTGGGGTTGCAAAGAGTTGGGCATGACTGAGCACACATATACATACACACACGTAAGTATGAAGTATTAAGATATAGGGTTAAGATAAACAAGAAAAATCTATTTTCATTTCAGGAAAAAGAAAAATCTATTCCAATGAATGTTGAAATGTTCAAATAAACTGACAACTTTTTCCAATCTATGTTGCTCATGCTTTAAAATTCACATTTCTCTAATAATCTTTTCCTGGAGGAAAGTATTGAATGGACTGCTACTTGAGTTTTCAAAACTTCCAGGTAAATCAAATCATCAATCCATTTTAATACTTACCCTAAGTCCACCTTCCGGTGGGGGTCCAGATGTAGCCATTTCTTTTTCTAGTTTTTCCTTTTTCTTTCTCTTTTCTTCCACAGACTGAACATTCAGAATACCCCGAGATGCAGCCTTCAGGAAAATTGTTGATAAACAACAAAATTGTAGAAAAACAACAAAAATTAGTTTTTGGTGTCCAGAAGCTGTCTTTTGCTTTTTGCCTTTCAGGTTTTTCTTTCGATGTGGGGACAGGGGAGGGGGTTGGTCTCTTTTTTTGGCAACAAAGAATTAGACTATTTCTAAAACAGTTTTACATAAAAACATACTACAATTTCTTCATTGGGTATTTTGCAACCATACATTTCGCCCCTGAAATTACTTCACAACGTTCAGTGCTTTACAAGGCACGGTCATTTCATCTCAAGGAACAATGTTATTAACGGGGCATCTCACATAACTGAAGACACATGTATGGTAATCGTCATATATTAAATAACAAATCCCTGGAGGAGGCCACAGCAACCCACTCTAGGATTCTTGCGGAGACGACCTCATGGACAGAGGAGACTGGCTGGCTATAGTCCATGGGGTCACAAAGATGTGAACATGACTGACCACACACACAAATGACATAAATGCATTAAATGAATTTACTGAAACACAGAAATCATCCTGAAAAACGTTTAAATTTGTAAGATATCAGATATCATTTTCATTAGGGAATACTACTAGTAATAGACATTTACAGAGAACAAAGCAGAAGGTTAATCATCTAAGGTCGGATTTTATTTCACTCTCACCTCCTTCTGTCTCCTCTCTGCAGCCTCTGCAAGCTTTGCTCTTTTTTCTTCCTAAAAAAAAATGTGTAAGAAATATGGTTTTAAACAAAACCAAACATGATCCTTGGTATTTTATACTTTATCTTACCAGTAATATAATAGTTTATAAAAATAGTACTGGCCTCAACTGTCCCACTAGGAAGGCCATTACTTCTAACATTCATAAAATACTCAACTTTCTGAATTTCATTTTCCCAATCAGTGTACCTTCAAGTAAGCACAAGGTGAGACATATATCTACACCTATACATACACATTTTATATCTCATACATACATACACAGATTGGCTTGTGAAATAATCTATTTGCCTTTTTTTTTAAAAAGCGCTAACAAGTTAGTCAGGGCAATAATAAAACAAATGACATTGAGCAATACAAGCAGGGAAATACATGGTTGATACTGCCAATTAAAAAGGAGTTTGAGGCAGCCTGGTATTTTCAGAAAAAGTTCATGAATGAAGAGAATGAATCGCATTGTGTAGGACAAGAAGGACTGAAGGATATTTGAGATGTACTGTTCTATGTTGGGACCCCATGAATATTATTTTTCTACCTGAATTAATCACAAGTTATAAGTTATTTAAATATGTAAGAGAGTAAACAGCATTCTCTTGGGAGCTGTGTTAATAATTTCATTTTCCACAAAATACTCACTCATTCACTTATTCATTCTTTGGATACTTAATGAACAACGATCATACCTAGTAACTATTCCCCGTGCTGAGAATACAGCAGTGAAATAATATAGAGAAATATTTCCACCCACATGGAATTTACATTACAATAAGAACAAACAATCATATATAATCAAATAAATATACATTTATTAGACTGAAGTAAGTGCTTCTGGGAAATACAAAGAAGAGTATGGTCAAAATGGAAGGATGGGTTGATGGTAGAGTGGAGGATCTATTTTACTTAGAGTGGTGAAGAAAAGCCTTAAAGTGACATTCAAGTATTCTGCCATGTGGTTATCTCTGGGGGTGGTGGGGAGGGCTTAACAACTGCTGGCACATTAGTTTTTTATCAACAGCCAGATAAAGAAAATTAAGAACATTTAAAAGCAACAGTTGCAAGAAAGACAAGGTGAATTTTCTCCTATCAACTTCCAGGTCATTTTTAGCACTTAAGATCAAATAGCTGAAGAGTTAATGTACTTCCCTAAACAACTCCTTTCCTTCAACGAATTTTTAGCCAAATATTAATAAAGGAGAGGAACTTAGGTTTTCTGTTAGCAATTCCCTGTAAGGATTATTAAGGTAGAAAGGCTGTTAAAAATAGAAAGCTACAAAAAGTATAAATGTACTATACCACAAACCACCTAGATACATCTGCAATTATCCAGATAAATAACGAATACTTTCTAGTACAAGTATGTCCCCAATAAACATGGTGACAAATCGACATATTTTTAAGATGCATTTCTCGTTAAACTGAAAATTCAAATTTCAGGGTGCCTTGTGTTTTTATTTGCTAAACGTGGCAACCTTACAAATTGTATACTCTGTACTACATAAAATGCTTTTTAAAATAGAACTTAGATAAATACTAAAGAGAAATTCATTAATACAGTATCTAATAAAAAGCAGAAATATACGAGACTTTATTGAGCACCTTCTTTAAACAGCTGATACAGACACATAAAAATGCACATCTCCTACAAGATGAAATTCCTCAGTTCACGGAGAAAGAGGGAGGTTTTTTCACATATTAAGTTCATCTACCGCATCTCCAGGAGTGGTCCCCACAGCGAACCGTCCGCGTGCGCCTGCGTCCTACGAACTCCCGATTTCGCCAGCGGCGAAAGGTAAAGAGACACTGGAGCCGCCTTCAGAGGGAGAGAGACGGACGCGGAGGCAGCCCCCAAATCCCGCAAGCAGGACGTCGATGTTCCTCGGGTTGCAGCCACCCGTCTCTGCCAGCTGGGTCCCCACCGGTTACTCTCCGGCCCGCGCCACCGCGTCCAACGGCCCTTCCCGTGGCCGCAGCTCGGGCCTCCCGGCGCGCCCCTCCGGAAACAGGTGCGCGCGGCGCCGGCGGGCTGACGCGGGGAAGCGGGCAGGCAGGCTTACTCACCAGGTCCGGCGAGGGAGGCGCGGCCTCGGTGGGACAGGGAAAACACAGCCCCATGGGGATCGCGGCCGTTGTCTGCTCCGCGGTCCGCCCAAACCAGGCCGTGAGAACTGCGCGATCAAACGCGGGTCTCAGGTCTGCGGCGCTCGCTCCGCCCCCGCCGGGCGGCTCGCTGACTGGGCGGCTCAGCCCCGCCGCTCCTCTCTGCCCCGCCCCTCTGCCGCAACCTCCCCCCGCCCCGCCCCGCGGATCCGCCCACTCACTCTCCCCGCCCCAAGACTCCGCCCACATATACGCCCCGCCCCTCGGCTCCACCCGCGCCCCACCATTCCGCCTGGGCTCGGCTCCGCCCCACTGTTGCTGGGCTCCACTCCAGCCCCGCCTCGACCCCGCCCCTCTGAGGCCACTCCCCACCCATACCTCCAGAGGCTCCTCTGGGACCAGGCGTTGGACTCAGGAAACACCTGCTGAGGGCAGCACGCGGAAGAGGGATGGAAAAGTGTGGCTATAGCCTGCGAACCTCTCTGTGGCTGCCAGTTGGCTGACCCTGTATAAATGAGTGACCTGACTCGGGATAGTTTATGTTATCTCTTGTGAGAAGAGGCTCTGACTTCCAAGAAATCAAAGCCAAGATTTCAAGTTGATGTCAGCACGCATTTCTCTAAGTGCCTCTCACTACTACTCCAGTTGAGAGGGCAGAACATGAAATTTATCACCATGTTTTAGAATTGAGCCGCATGAATGCAGCATTAGTTGAGATGTCTATTGTTTTCTGTTGCGTTGAATGCATTTTTCCATCCAAGAGTAGCAGTAGCGTTTGAAATATTCAGAAATATTTAGAGTGGATGCTTCTCAAATTTAATAGGTATAAGAATCACCTGAGCATCAACTTAAATGAATTAAGGTATGAGTTAACAAATATCACAGCCAAATGGACATATCATTGGAAACTTGATGGCAGCATACGGAGTTCTTGATCTTAATCTTCTGTTAACAGCTTTATGAAATCACCATGTGGTTCTTTAAAATTGTTTAATTTTTTTACCCAGTTAATTTCTGTGGTCTAAAATTTATCAGAAAACTGCACTTGTCAAGAAATATTTTCTATGAATCCTTTTGAATATGAAGTGCTTATTGCAAGAGCATCAGAGTAAAACAGTGACCATCTATAAATGACAAAAGAGTTTAAAAGACATGATTGAAGATCTGATTACAATGCAGTTGACAAAGAAACTTGGTTACTACTGTGAGTTACAAAATTCAGTATAATTAGTAGAATTATGGCTGTTAATATTTTACTTAGATATATTAGATTTTTAGGAGGCCCATAATTTCCATAATATCTATATTAATAACATTTACCCTTAACAACATAAACTAAGTTTTATCACAACTCATTTGATAATGCTCACATATAATTTCATGTACAAAGTAACCCTAATTTGTTTAATATTTCTTTCCATCAGATTTTTCAGATGTTCTGTCTGAAGCATCCCAAAGTTAGCTAGAGGCCAAAAGAACTTTGATCAGAATTTGAAACTTGGAAAGTTTGTCAAAAATATCAAAAATGTTTCAAAACATTTAATCAAATATTATAGGGTCACATGTCACTGTGGAACAATACTTATTCACTTAACTAAAGTGACAATAAAAGATTTCAAGAAGCAAATGTTGCAAGTTGTAACAGAATACTGGTTAAAGGCAGAGAAACTTTATAATTAGTTATCAAAAGAAGATCAATATTTTCCAAAAACTTTCTATTAAAGAGAGAAAGTCAAATTCAGATTTTGTACTATTTTACCTTGCAAATTAAAATTCATTTACTCAGTTAAATTTATTCTACTCTTTATCAGCCTTGACCAACACATAGAATGCCTTTCTAAGGCATTGTCTAAAGATAATCTTCTATATCCATATTAATTTGTCCTTATTTTCTTTCCCTTTTAGCAATAAACAGCTTTAGGACAAAAACCCTTTCTTTTCCCTTAACAAAATGCATTTTCATTCTTTATATCTTCTTTGTCCTTGGATACAAAGATGTTTTCCTTATTAATTTTTAGTAGTTTTAATTAGATACTTTAATTCTGATTCTTAACCTTAAAAATCTTAGTTTCTAATGAAAACTGAGTAAGCAATTATGGACATGTACATTAGCAATTTGTAGACAGGCAAACTTGTGAATATTAGTTGTAATTTCTAAAACAGGTGTTCCATAAAGAAAATATCTCAGTGTGGCACCAAGTATATTAATAATCCTTAATATCTTTAGTTTCTCTGTAAAAGGAAGCTTTTGTTCAGTAATGTTACAGTTTCTTATTTGGAAATGATCTGGATAGTCAATGAATTCCCATCATGGAATTTAACTTAGCAGTTTCAAGTTACAAATAAATCTGGAGAAACGATTTTAGATAGATATACTCAAAACATAATTATTCCTAAAGAGTTCACTTAGATTATTTTATTTACCTTTAATTTATTTAAAACTTTCATATCAAGTTATTTTTCTTGCTGACAAATTTTGTAGCAGGAATAATAAGTTCTTATTTGATTTCGAGTAAACCTAGGTACAACAAAAATATCATACTTAATGTTGATGACCCTAAAGAGATGTCTGTATTAATTAAACTGACAAACGGAAACTTTTCATTCATTAAAATTGAGTCTATTTCATTTAATTTATTAACTCTAGATCATGAGATTCAGAAGTTCATGTGGATTAGTTTCTTTGTATTTCTGACTGTTTATATGTGCTTAATTTCCTTTAAGCCAATTAAATAGAGCTCTTTTACAAATTAATATTGGCAATACCACACCTCTACAATACAAACACACTGACACAAACAAACACCTCATAGATTCCACTCTAAGATTTCAGCCATGAATTGTTACAATAATATAAAACCCATCAGTTTTAAGAGTTTGGATTAAAATTGTATTTCTGGTGGATGGAACAAATCGAGGTCACCTGTTTAGATGACTAATTCTTTTACTAATATTTATAGAAGAGACACTTAAGTGTCTTAGAAACCTTAAGATTTGTATTTGTCCTTGACAAGTCAAGTTCCAAATTATCTTTTCATGCTTTGTTTTTTCTTTCAGTAAGAGTTACCTTCCTAAAATCTGCATTTTAAAAAGATGACTATGATTAGAGTAACTGACCAGATAGACTATATGAAACTCAGAAGTATAGGAGAAATTCAGCTTCCTCCTAGAAGGAACTTTGTTATTGTCATACATTTTAATCCTGCATGTTATTATTGTCACAATACCTTGATTTTTTTCTTAAAACAATTATTTTTTTAAAAAATAAAAAAAATTTAAATGATTTTGTATTCATTCATGTGTATCATTTCCAGAGCTATTCATTTTGTGAAGGTCCAAGAATCTGACAATTTTTCTTCTACTTAAAGAATTTCAAGTAGATAGTGATATTTTGGGGGCTTTCCTTCTCTGGGAAAAAAAAAATACCCTACATTTTGCTTTCAATTTTGAAGCCTATTTTTGCTTCAAATAAGACATAAGGTTGATAGGATTTTTAAAAATATTTTAAATCAGTGTTTTTTAAAGATGTCATTTTGGTTACATGATTTATTATGACCTTTGTGGTTTTCTTATGCTTATTTCTCAGCATTTAATGTCGGAGAAGGCAATGGCACCCCACTCCAGTACTCTTGCCTGGAAAATCCCATGGACGGAGGAGCCTGGTAGGCTGCAGTCCACGGGGTCAGGAAGAGTCAGACACGACTGAGCGACTTCACTTTCACTTTTCACTTTCATGCATTGGAGAAGGAAATGGCAACCCACTCCAGTGTTCTTGCCTGGAGAATCCCCAGGGATGGGGGAGCCTGGTGTGCTGCCGTCTGTGGGGTCACACAGAGTCGGACACGACTGAAGTGACTTAGCAGTAGCAGTTAGCATGTCCCTGTTATTTTCTTTTTTTAATGTCTTTCAGCAATTTTATTATGAGATAATTTGGTAAGTTTTGGAATTCATTTTACTTGGTGTCCATTACACTTTTTGAATCTGTGGGGTTAGTTTACATCAAATTTGGAGGCATTTTGGGCATTTTTTTTTTTCTTCCATCCTTCCCCACTCATATCTCTCTATTTATTCATGTCTTAGACCTCCATGATATTGTCTCATAGATCAGTGAACAGTTAATCATTTTCCCAGTCTTTTTCTGTTTGCTTTAGTTTGAATTGTTTCTATTGCTTTATCTGCTGTATCTTCAATTTCAATGTCTTTCATACTTACTCACTCAGTAGCATCTGACTCTTTGCAACCCTAGGACTGTAGCCCGCCAGGCTCCTCTGTCCATCGGATTCTCCAGGCAAGAATACTGGAGTGACCTTCAAGGTCTTTTATTTACATCTAATATACTGTTAGTATCATTTAGTGAATTTTTTAAATTTCAGATATTTTCAGTGTTAAAAGTTCCATCTAATTCTTTTAGTCTTCCATTCTTCTCCTTGCTGGGTTCACATTTTTCTTTAAACTGCTGAACATAGTCAACTTATTTATAATAGATGATAAAGCTGATTCTTCTAATTGCATCCTCTCTTCATTTTGGTGTCTCTATTAACTTGATTCCCCCCTTTTTAATGTTTTATAATTTTTTGCTCCTTGGCATGCCTAGTAATTTTGCCTGGACACTAGATATCACATATGGATGGTACAAAAAGAGTAAACAGATCTGACATTGCTGAGTTCACGCTATACACATGCAGCTTAGCATTTAACACAGACTAAATCCAAGGCACAATACAGATCTGCCAGTTACTTTCAGCAGTTTCTTACTTCCTGGATTTCTGCCCTGCAGGTTCCAGTTACTCCAGACGGCCTGAATCCTTATCTGTTTCTCAATCAGGAAAACTCCTGTGTTCTGCTTATGATCCTCTTCCCTGCATAAAGGACTGCTCTGGAATGCTCCTCAGGCAGTAAATGGAGTTCATTTGGTTCTCTTCTCTTAGGGATCACAACCTGTTTTTGACTTTTGTCTATTTTCTGAAACCATTGTTTTTAGAATTTTGTCTTATTTTTTAGTTGTTTACTATGGA